AACATTTACACTGCTCATTACTTAAAGTGTTTTGGCAAAAACAACTGAAATATATCTCAAGTGAAAGATCTCAAGTGAAAGGTGACGTGTATAATATTTGTGTATGATAATAATAATAATAATAATATTAAACACGCTTTAGAAAGCTTATTCAACCAAATCCTCAATATATGAATTTAGTCATGTCCTGTCAAGCTGACACAATAAAGAGAGCACAGAAAGCGTTGATTAATTAGACCGACACTGTGAGCTCCTCTAGGCTGTGTGTGGTATGATCATTGTGCTGTTAATGAGTGTGTATGCATGTGTTTGCTCACCCGGATGCAGCTGAAACAGCACAGTTTGGAACAGTGAGGGCAGAGACGGGCATCACGCAGCTTTTCCATGCAAATGAAGCAGCGGAAGACTTCTGCTATACTCTGAAGAGTTAGTTGATACATGAACACATTACTAAGTTAACGCGAGACTAATAACATTCACTACAATATAATCAAACCGTTTATGTTCTTAAAGCAATAGTTCACCCAAAAATATAAATGTGTTTAAAATTTATGGGGTTCTTCATCTGAACAGATTTGGAGAAATTTAAGCATTACATTACTTGCTCACCAATGGATCCGGTATAGTTAATGGGTGCCGTCAGAATGAGAGTCCAAACAGCTGATAAAACATCACCACAATCCACAAGTAGTCTACACAATTCCAGTCAATCAGCTAATGATCTTGAATTAATAATAAACTACTAATCTTGTAAAGTGAAAAGCTGCATGTTAGTAAGAAACAAATCCAACATTAAGACATTTTAACTTACATCCATTACTTCTGGACAAAATAATCCATTAAACTGTAGTGATCTGTGCATATTTCACTCCAGATTCAAATGAAATTACTTTTTCACTGGAGAAAGCATTATTATGGATAGAGGACTTTAGCTGGAAGCAACAGTCTGACGTTAAAAAACATCCTGATGTATTTGTTTATTTCAAACATGCAGCTTTTCACTTCACAATACATTATTTGATGGACTGGAGTCATTTGGATTATTGTGATGTTTTTATCAGCTGTTTGGACTCTCATTCTGAAGGCACCCATTCACTGCAGATGATCCACTGATGAGCAAGTGACATAATGCTAAATTTCTTCAATTCTGTTCTGATGAAGAAACAAACTCACCTACATCTTGGATTACCTTTAGGTGAGTAAATTTTCAGCAAATTTTAATTTTTGGGTGCACTAATCCTTTCAGCCAAAAATTAACATTCTGTCTTCATTTACTCACCCTTATGCATTTTCTCATGTGCCTCAAGCTTGTAATATAGCGCACAAATCTTATTGATCACTGATAACTTTTTTTTTGTCATTTGGGAGTCTTGAATCTCTATTATAATGACAAGAGTGTTCAGGAAATTTCTTATAAATTCACATTTTGTGTTCCACAGAAAAAGGAAAAGATACTTGAATGACATGAGGGTGAGTATAATGACAGATTTTTCCTGTTTGGCTAGAGGTTGAATGTTCTGTGTCAAGTTTTTGTCTTTAAACAAAAGTCAACTTGATGCCAGCATAAATCATAAAACATACACAAAGCATAAAACATACACATACATCATACTGTAAACATACCTCAACACTCTGCTCATCCATTTCAGCCAGTTTTACTTATGACAGTCAAATATACCTGATGGGAGAACCTTGGTGGCTTTCACTGCAGTAAAAGCAGAGAGCAGAAACCATTCAGATGCTCACATTTTAGCAGTATAAATGCACACAGTCTGCCAGTCTACTGAAGGACAGCCTACAGTAGCTCTCTATACATGCCTGGCAACTCAGAGCTGATGTGACAAGTGACAGAAGACATTCATCTGTATGAGCTTATATGACTGCAGATGGCCAAAACACAGGATGAAATAAACACGTAATATTACATGAACTGCCAAAATGCTGCAGGATACATCTGCCAACATCAAATGGAGGCCTTCATGGTTTTATAAAGCAAATAACGGTATCAAATACAAGATATCAATGGTAAAAGTTCACAGATGATTGACTTTAACAACCAAATAACCCATAAATGGGCAACATAGCGACCAATTCGAGCAATAACAAACGCTGTCATCTATTAAATATGTCTGCAGGGACAATATTTGAGCACATCCAACAAGAAACATCTTCACGTGCGAGCTTATAACTCAATGCCAATACAGAGAGGATAAGAAACGACTGATAAACCGTTAAAATAAAAAATATATTATAAATAAATACACAATACATACACTAGCAGGTGATATAGCACAGGTTAGCATTTAGCAAGTTAGCTAGTGGGATTTGCACAAAACTCAATGCACCATACAGAAAAACCTCGTATCTATCAAAATGCATTTACCTTTTAATGTTGCCCTCGAACCCGTCACTCCGACTGTCTACATCAAACGCTATTAATTTAGTGTTTTATAAACAGGTATTGTAGCATCAGACTGCTTGTTTATAGACTAGCAGCAGAAAGCAGCGAATGTAGCGCCTATATGCCATTGTCAGTCACCATGGGAGACCGTGTCAATCACCATGGGAATCCGTATCCACCAATCGTATTTACTGTTGGTAGCCGAGTGGATTAGCATTAATCAACCACGATCGCCCATTACGAGTGGGCGGTTCATTTAGCGTTGTGACACGCCTACTTAAAAGCGCCAACATCAAATATTTAAAGAGGTCATATGATGCGATTTCAATTTTTCCTTTCTCTTTGGAGTGTTACAAGCTCTTGGTGCATAAAGAAGATCTCTTCGAATTTCATATTAAGAAATTATTTTAACTCGAAAAGCAAATTATGCTCCCTTCGAACTGGATTTATTTAAAATACAAAACTTTGCAATCCCAGACTATCTGTAATCAGCAGCACATTTATAACTGGAATATAATTTAATTTCATTCACATGTGTTTCATAAACACATAATCCTTTATGGA